ATTATTTGGAGACCAGATTACAGCAGATAATTGCAAAAGATTATTTGTAGGGAATTACGACGGTATAGATTAATTCGAAGAAAATTGACTTTGCAGGATTAGGCTCTTACTAACAAATACAGAATTTTTAGGGTTTTTAAGCATATGTCGTGACCGGTACTCTGGCTATCCAATCACTATTTCATCTCCAAATTATCCCTTTATCCATCGTTGTCTCAACTACAATACCAATCTGGTCATGAGAATTCGTCTTTTACTTATAGCGTCGGTGTGTCTTTTCGCAAAATGTCACATTGCTTTCGGAATGGTCAACCGTAATCTAAGGGCGACATTGGACAGTGCAGAGGATTTACAGACACACACCTCAACATCCACCAACGCTGAGAAAGGAAAGTTTGATGAAGAGAGAAGCCAAGCGAGCAAGAAGGCTGTGAATGTGGTAAAAGAAAATCTTTCCTCCTTTTCAAGCATATCCTTTTTCGATGGCGCATTCGGAAAAACTCCGCGTATATCAAGCGTATCTTGATCATCTTCAGGGTCAAAACGAGGAAACTGTTGAAAAAGCTAACAAATACTTTCTCCAGTGGTCGAATGGAATTTTTCACCACAAAGATTAATTCACGTATAAAATTCTTGTAGTTCGTTCAAATTTACTGATAATGATTGCCGACTTTTTTTTTTTGAGAAGTTGAGTTTTCCTTCAGAATTTTCCTTGTGAAAAATAGATAATTTAACTGTAATTGAAATTTCTAAAACAGAATGTCCTGGTGAAACTTGATCTTATTGGAAAAAGAGTCAGCCACGTTCGAAATTTTGTGAAATAATGAGGTAATTCAATTGTGATGTTGTCTCGATGGCGTGATGGACACGTAGGCCGCTAGCTAGCCTCACACGATGCGTTATAAAGAGGTTGTTATTATTGGTAGTTAGACGATACGTATTTAGGATAGCTCCAACTGTAAATCACCCTTTTGTGTTCGACTGTTGTCCTCAGACTTACAGCGAAGGTTTAGGGGGCCATGGCGAACTATCATTACCATCTATCGTGAGTAGTTTTCGGGATTGATAGGACGATGGTATTCCGAAAAGAATGGCGGCGAGACACGTGGCAGCTAGTCTCACGCCTAGTGCGACAAGATTAGCTACATTTGCACTTTGTACAGGGTGTTCTACGATGTCGAAACCCAACAGCAGGTGTACAATAAAACGAAATATAGACTGCAATCATCACGGCCTCCGATTTGTTTAGTATATGGAGAAAGAACATAATCTTGTTAGTTGTTACTCGAAAAGTTGATATCGCTAGATTAAGTATAGAAGCGCACTAGCAGACTACAATTTCCAAAGTTTAAATGGTAACCTGGATGTCGATTACTTTTTTCACGGTACTATCAGGGTCGCATGTTTGATTCGTCACAGCTTCAGCGATTCCCAAACTTGACGTTAATAATTCTTGTCGGCTTGATGGGCTCCGCAAGAATCGGGATTGATTAATCACTAATTGCATCGTGACATGGTGGAAAGTAAAGATTATCTCATCTATATGATTGATGCAGTGAACATGATAGAGTTTACAATCGAGTTTCTCAATCCACACCTATTTTGCATTGGCCTTTGCTGTGTCTATACACGTTTGTAGCTGACGTATTCCTTAAAAATTGCTCTGAAGCAAATATTAATCAGCGCACTGCTTGTTCAAGGATATATAAGGAGCAGTATTCACGTAAAGTTCATAGAACAGCTTCAAATCTATTTCCTGTCAAAATCCATATTTCCAACATGCAGTTTGTTATCCTCTAGTAATTGTAAGTATGTTCCTTTATAAGAGAATGTAGTGGCATCTTAATAATTTAAAGGGTATAGGAGCCGATAGGGGCTTTAAACGTCGTACGCACCGCACATAAAAGACCTCCGTTTTCGTCAATGCGTAATTCGCTTGAATTGGTCCTTACGTAGACTGAACAAACCGCAGAAACTTGTCCCTCGCGTCGTTTGTTACTTAAGGAGTAAGGATAGGAGTGGCAGCTTTGCATGCTCCGACCACAGATATGGGAAATGGACAAAAAATTGTCATTACATTCAGTGACTCATTTCAATCCCAGGTAAGGTACCTGGGATTGAAATGAGTCACTTTTACCCGTGCACGTTGACAGTGCTTGATGTGAATCCGTTTCAAGCCGTGAACACTTTCTTGCAGAGTTGTCGCAGGTTCGCAAGCTGAGCGAACGTAATTCGATGGGTCTCGCTGTACAAGAATTTGACCGGGGGTAATGATAGTTAATCTCCTGGGATGTAGCTGCCACGTGTCCCGCCGCCCATTCTTTTCGGAATACCATCATCCTATCAATCCCGAAAACTACTCACGATAGATGGTAATGATAGTTCGCCATGGCCTTCTAAACCTTCGCTGTAAGTCCGAGGACAACAGTCGAACACCATGATAGTGTTTGTACTCCGGTACACAAAAGGGTGATTTACAGTTGGAGATATCCTAAATACGTATCGTCTAACTACCAATGATAACTGTTAAAGTCAGCAAAGTTCGTCATCCTGAAGTCAGCAAGGTTTGTCACTATGACGTGAACAAGGATCAGAACCAACACCAGGTTGCGGTTGAAGAAGATTACGCTCAAGTCAAGAGTAGGCTAGGGACCATTCATTTCAGAGCGCGTAGCAACCATTCATTTCAGAGAGCATAAGTAAGAGTCAATCACTTTCCATTTTCCACTCTCCGACAACAGTCTCCTTCCAATCCTCTCGACAAACTTGAGAGGTTATGAGCCCAACAACCAATGATGCGGGCGACCTACTCCGCGAAGACAACAACTTCGTGTGGGATTTTAACGCACGAAAGAAACTCGCAAAGAAGGGACTTGTCCAACACATCGACACAACGAAGCCCCCGAGTGCAT